TACTGCTAAATGTAATATGCAAATTATGAAACACCAAAAATAGCAATTACTCATTTATGCGGCAGTAATTCATACGAGCATTTTAGGCGTGTTTAATGTGATTTTTAGTGAGATTTTTCTTCTCGAACGAACCTAACAACGTGCTTTTTGATCAGTTCGGCTATACCTATGGATGTGGGAATTTTTGCACAGCTCCAAGCTTCAATTTTGTGTAAATCTGTACAATTTCAGGTGCTTCACCGGGCAGATGCCATCTTTTTTCCCGGACAATTGGAGCCCGCTGAGCACTTCTCGTGATTCGATGAAACGTAGAAAATTGGGAAACGATCGATCAGTGATGATCAATTCAAACGAGGTACGGTAAAAAAAAAAAAACACAAAAAAAAATCTGTTACGAGATGAATGATTTCTAATTTTGGTTAATCCCTGTTTTTTTTTCATTATTTAACATTTTCGCGCCTTCAGCTAAGCTGAGAACCGCTTCAAAATTGACTTAGTCGATTTAGATCCTTTCATCCTTTACGGATAATCCAGTGTATCGAAACTTGGGTTTTTTTCCAATTTTTTCTTTTTTTCCATTTTTCTTTTTTTTCCATTTTTTTCCTTTTTTTCCATTTTTTCTCTTTTTTTGCCCCATTTTTTCTTTGTTAAGGATTCCCTGTATTTTCTATGTTACGTGTGCTACAAATTTATTAATCTTATCTGTTCGGTTTAGCTGTAATTTGTAGTCTAATTCTTCAGCTATCCAGCTGGCAACTCTTCTCCGTTTGCCTTAACCAGTCTTGGTACTTTTCGAAGGCTTTATATAGTATTTTTCACTCAAATTTTCGATCTTAAGTAGTTTTGAAGCTGCTACATTTGTAACCAACTTTTCATCGGGATTTTTTTTTTTTTCGTTTTTCAGAAGCCGTTATTGGATTCTCCAGGCAAAGAGAAGGAAATTCTCTATGATTTCAGTCGCGATCCGAAAGTGCTCATGCTACAAGGGCGAATCCGAGCCCCATTGGTAAGCTTTTTTTTTTGAATTTCTTCGCTGTCTTAACTCTCTACTCTACCAACCATTACGAGGTCGCTTGAACTTTTCTCTGTAAATACTAAATACGTTAAAATACTATGATTTCTAATTGCCCTGAATGAAAATCTTTGTGCAGTGGCATGGCTGAACAGTCTGCCTGTGTTTCATCCCTTAGCTGTAAACACACATCGAATTTTCCTTATGCAAAATTCGATGTGTGTTTACAGCTAAGAGATGAAACACAGGCAGCCTGCATCATCAAATGTCTTCTTACACATGAGACTTAAGTCTAATCCCTCTGTTCTGCTATTTTCACTATCTTCGAATCCGCTAAATCATTTCACTGTAATTTAAAGCTTAGATAGAAAATGAGGAAAAGGAAAAAGAAGAGAAAGAGAACGAAGTGGAAAAAGGGGAAGAGGGTAGTATTGAAATATTTGTAATTGGTAAGAAATATTTCGGTTCATTAATTCGTATACATTTCTTACCGTTACCACAATTGGACCTCGTCAGTACGACGATTTTGGTAGCAAAGATAATTTAGATGAAGACAATTTAACCACTGCACTACCGATCTTTGTGCTCCTTCTCTGGCAGTAACAGCGTATGAATCCGTATGAATTGACGTACATGTATACAGCCCCGTAGTGCGTGATTGTTAACACAAGCAGCACATCCTCCTTAATTTTTGTT